GGGGAGGGAGAGGGAGAAGGAGAGGGAGAGGGAGAGGGGGAAAATAAAACCAGGTTTGTGTTACTCAAAGGACTGTGCTTTTATACCGAATGATTCTGGAATCATCCTGGTTTTGTTGCCTAACACCTGGGTAGCTGTGTGTGGATGCTGGGACTTAAAGCTCCAGCTGTAGGCTATCCCAAAGATGGTGAAAATAGAGTTGAATACATTTGCCTGGACTTTAGAAGATGAGTCATTAGAAACCTATTATCTAAACTCTTTGTTATCTCATTGAATATTTTTTTAAATCTTACCACTCAACAAATGTTGGGCATCCAGAGTATAGTGTTTCTTTTCATTTGCTTTGGTGAAAAAATTTCAGAAAATCAAGAGGCAGATGAATTCAGTCATTTCAAGTACATAAGTACCAAAAGAGTCCACCCTCACCAGGAAGGGTTACAAATCCTGTTACTCGGCTGTGTTTCCTGCCTTTTGATTTTCTGAAATTATTTCACACTGTGGTCCTTCCCCTCTCTGCCAGGGGCACAGAGAGGGGCAGTGACTACTTTGAGGAGTCACCCTGGAGTCAGACCTGAGCTAAACAGGAGATAGGAGGGTCTAAGCTCACTCCATTTAAAGTGCAAGGCATGGGATTTAAGAGAAGGTCAGCTGAATATTAAGCTTCTGAGGGAGAAAAAAAGTCAAAAGGGAAGGAAGAAAGGTCCTCTGGCCACTGGAGAGTGAAGGGGAAAAAAGAAAAAATAAGGGAAAATTTAGAGTCCTGCAAAACAAGAGAGAATCATGAAATAAGAGGGGACCTCCCCCCATGAAAACAAACTTACTGAAGTGACCAGACTTTGCCAGGACAATGGAAAAGGATCCCATTAAGCTGGTTATATTGTAAACACCTCGACATTATGAAAATGAACAAAAAGAACAAAACATCCATAGGAGAGAGGAAAAAACTCACCTTCCACTGTCTCCCCTGAAAAACAACCATGCGTCAAAAGAAAAACTGAAGTCTCCACTCCAAACAGATATATGCAAGCAAGCCGTTGAAGATAAGATAACCAACCCAAGCCAGAAGTGCAAAAATTAGGAACAGAAATGCCAAAAACAGGGAGAAACAAAAAGAAATGAAAGCAGCAAAGTTATCTAAGAAATGAAGAATCCATTAAAAGATACTCAAGGAGCACTCACATAGAAGTTAGCTAGGGCACTGAAGAGAAACAGGGAAACTTCTGAGAGAA